TTCACCCTCTTCCTCCTCCTCCTTCCCCCTTCCGTTCTAGCACTGATGATGTTACCTAGATGGATAATGAAACGTCTGTAAGAAAACCCCCAAACTCAGAGAAACCAAGGATCCCACAGTCATCCTCCTCCTCCTCCTCTTCTTCTTTTTCTTCTTCCTCTTCTTCTTCTTCCTCTTCTTTTTCTTCTTCTTCATCATCTTCTTCCTCCTCTTCTTCTTCCTCCTCTTCTTCTTCCTCCTCTTCTTCTTCTTTCTCTTCCTCTTCTTTTTCTTCCTCCTCCTCCTCCTCTCCACAAACCCCATCCTCTTATAGCCCTGATGATGTTCCCTAGTTGGCTCATGAAACGTCTTCAAGAAACCCCCATCGAGTTCAGGGATCACCAAGGGCCCCTCAATCCCATTTCAGAGCAGCAAAAAAAGGGCACAATAAAAGACGTTGGTGCAAGAATACTCTGCCGTGGAAGGGGAAGCGTGGAGGGGGGGGCACTGCGGGACATTGGAGTAAACCAGACTTGAGGGCCCAGGGTCCCCCTCGGTCCCTCCCTTTCGAAATGCAGACCCCCCCCCACTCACAAATAAAACCCCGCGGACAGCAGTGAACCAGTATCACTGGTCACCCCTGGGCCAGCCCTCCTGTGTCCGTGGACGCCGTAGTAACCCCAGCAAGTCCGTCACCGGACGGGGAGTTGTGGGTGAGGGGGGAAGAAAAGCATGCTGGTTCCTGACCACAGTGTATTCTTCACGCACACACACACACACCTGTGTGTGTGTATGTGTGTTTGTGTGTGTGTGTGTTTGTGTGTGTGCGCGCGCGCTTTCGATTGGGTGCACCCTGTTGACCTCAAGTTGAAAAGTCTAATTTACCGGCAGGACCACAAAAAAAAAATTTATTTTTTTTTATTTTTTTATTTGGCTAAAAGTGAGAGTGCTTCTTACTGGCAACTCCGTCAAGGAGTACCGGCTGAGTAACTGAAAAGCTGACTCAACTCAGCTCCCCCCAAAGTCTTGGCTTACCAGTATCGGGCGTTTGAAGTCGAAGGGGAAGAAAATATCGGGCCGTTGCGGTTTTCTTTGCGATGCCTTCTCTCCTTTTTTTGTCTTTCCCGCTCGTTGTTTTGTGACGACGGGGGTGGGGGGGGGGGGGGAGATCGGAGGGAGATAGCGGCAGGTGAGCCGATGGGGAAGGGAGATTGTGCACGTACGGGAGCCCTCGAGTTGTTTAGCGGCTGTTCGACGTCGCCCCGGTGCCGGGGAAAAAAAGGGAGGCCTGTGTTGACCACGTTTTCCCTCATTTTACAACCTCGCTTGCCCCCGTTGAGAAGCGAATCACGGCA